AAATATAAAACTAACAAAAATTTATATTCATCCTGATGATATAATCTCTGAAATACTCATTTCTATTTGTCTTTTTAGTGTCAATAAATTTTGATTTTGATTGAATTGAATCTATGATAGTAGAGCTTTAATCTTCATATCTTCTTCCTGTTTTATAATGAAAAAACTTCTATGTTTTATGATTTATTGTGTTGTATGTTATTTCTTCTCAATGATTAAAATTCCAAATCATTCAATCAAATTTCAATGATTAAAATCATATAGGACCTCATACATGTCAAACAATGTGATCATTGTTTTTCTCATTAGCTTTAATACATTATACGTATGATAATTATTCAACCTCTCAACAAAGTAATTACAACAGATAAAAGTGATCTTCTAATAATTTGTTACAATTTTTCACTATAAATTTTCAAATAAAGTTTTCCCATGACTTCTTTTGTAAATATATTGTTATAACCTCTACATATGTGTTAAATCAAATCTCTTCAAAAGATTTACCATTCAAATTAGTCAAATATCCATGATAAAATTCAAGTTTTTCTCTAACAACAATTGAAAAGTTTCAATGACACTTTCAACTTCTTCATTTAAATAATAAAATGTAAAAACGCGATACAATTGATACAATTTATTGAAGATTTATAATTATAATAGTTTAAAATAGCAAATGCTATAATCTCATTTTCTCTATTCCACGTAGATAATCCATTCTCAAGAAAAAAGTTAATTAACTTTGATATTATTGTTATACTATGAATTAAAAGAGAAATACACTTGAAGATGAAGAATATCTATAAATATGAGATTTATTTAGTATGATTTTACTCTATCATGTATAAAAATAATCAACAAGTACAATGAAATAAAGTTCACTCACATTTTACATTGCAATTCTAGTGTATCAATGATATGAATGATAACTTTAGCAAGCACATTTATGTTGACAGGTTGTTGGCAACTAACACATGTACTCTCTATCTATCAAACACACAAATTGTTGACGATACAAATATATATGTTTTATTATTATATTTATTGAAATATGATTACATTATATTTCAATTTTAAATGATCTATACTTTAGTTTTACCTATCTAAAGAATATTATATCAATATATCATAATAATAGGTCACACATATAGTATATCTACAGCGCCATTCGTTTCAAGCGAAATCAAATGTTTTCATTATGTGAAAAATTGATCTGATCTAATATAACATTGATTGAAAAGAAAATCTATGGAATCTTCACTGGATGTAAGTATGAAAAATATCCATTATACAATTAGTAGGAAAGTATAATATTCTTGTGTGTGTGTATATATATATATATATATATATAATTTTATTAATGATGATAGTAATAAATCCTAATCCGAGTAAGGAGATTTGGATATTTTAAAGAAAAACATGATCATGTGTAAGTGATAGAGCATGGTAAAACGAAATTTTAAAGATTAAGTACTTCCAAGTGAAAAAGACGAAAAAGGGAAGAATGATGTTAAATGATCTTGTGATTATCCTTCGAATAGAGTAAGAAAGATAAAAAGAGTTACAATTTTTTCTCAATTTAAGTTGGGAAAGGATACTCACGAAGATTTAATGTGAAGCATTGAGAATTGAAATGCAATTGTGACCTTTTCACAATAAAACAATATATTTTTCTAAAGCTTAATAATTTAGATAAGTTTTTAGTTTTAGTTTTAGTTTTTTAAAATGCAATCTATCTAAGGAATTACTTTCCGGAGGATAAACTTAGAGTTTTTTTAAAGCATAGTAGAATGATCTACTCAATCTTTAAAGATACACTTATTTGACCATGAGTTATTAGTACACAAACTTGATTTGTGTACGAGCTTTGAAATTAAAGTCATATATTTCTCATGTTCATGTAAAAAATACATGATATCCAAGCATTTGAGATCTTATGAACGACTTCAGTGTAAAAATCACTAGAGTTTTTGCAATTGCGCAAAATGCAATCAATTGCGACATCAAGTTGAAATGGTGGAAACAAATTGTGTATTTACGGCATTCATGCGTATATAATGTTCTCATCTAAGAGGTGCATATTTCCATTCTTTTATGTCAATATATCTGCAATATGCTTATCGGCTTTAACATACAATGAAACCACCATATGAACATCCCAATAAGTTACAACTCTATTTGAGGTACATAAATTGTTTTTTAAAGCAAACTACTTTAAATTTGTAATAAAAATTCTCTATAAGAAGTACACCTTGGTTACTTATTATAAATTTAGCATGAAACGGCCACGAAGTATCCCCACAACACTACATTAGTTACATATCTTTCTCATTAATTCTCACGTTTTTGGGTTTCGAATCATGGAGTTTGGAGAATTGGAGAAGAAAAAGCACAAGCTTGTCAATTTAAAGATCAAACTATGGCAACTGTAACAACATTCAATTTTTGGAATGATACAGTTCAAATCATTAAGCCAAATTGAGCGGTTGTTGAAAGAAGTAGAAAGCAATCGATGACTGTCCAAAGTAAGAATTGTGAAGCAAAGTGACATCAATATCATTTTGTGAAGATGATTCACAACATCAAGCACACGAGGATATGCAATCAATGATCCTTTACTTCAAAAGAAAATGAAACAGATTGCCGATCAATTGGAAATGGACACAGAAAATTTTGGTTCATCATAATGTTGCCTACAAAAAAGAAAGCAACGGAATAACATGCGATCATACAACATCTATGAAGAGTTAGGAGACGTGGATCTTGACAGTGCTGAACAATGGGTTTCAACTTTAGTAACACTTTTGGCAGTATATGGTTTGAAAGACTTGTTCAACATGAATGATATCAAAATTTTCATTTTGTGCTTTTTCAGATTCAACATTGAGCCATGTTGCTCAAGATTGAATTGCTCAATCGTGTAAGGGAAAGAAATAAAATATATATATATATATATAAACTAACAGTGGTTTTGACTTGTTGTGCAATGAGTGAAAAACTTCCTCCTTAGATCATAGTCTGTTGGATTTCAAAAAGTCCTCATTGTTTTTATGTTGTGGACACGAAAAAGCTGAAGTTGTATTATGCAAACAGTGAAAAAGCTTGGATGACAAATCCAATTTCAATGTTTGTCTGATGAAACTGGAAGAATACTTAAAAAAAGAAAGTACACAAAATTCTTCTCTCTATAAATACTGTGTAGGGTCACATTCTCGATGAAAGTAATCAATCTGTTAAATGTCAAACTTTGATATTTCCCCCCTAACTAACGCCTCATCCATTCGATGCTGAAATCATCCAAAATCTAAAAGCAGTTCTTATGCTTTTAGATTCAATGGAGTATCAGGTTCATGCTTAGAACATAGCCAATAAAATTGAAATTTTTAGACGCTATAAGATTCTTGGGCAAATCTTGGAAAATAATGAAGGTAGACACAATTCAAAAATGTTTTTAAAAATGCGATTTCAACATTTCAAGATGATGTAATTGTTGAAATACCTATGCAAGAAGATATATTGTATCTCTTACATATAGATTCGGGGTTCCAAAGTCCAACCTTGTCATTGAAGAGCAACTACAGAAGTTCGAGATAAGTCCAAAGACAGACCTCGTTACACAACTAGTTGAGGAGTTTAAGGATGCTGAGGTTAAAGAGGATGTGAAAGAAGTAGCTATTAACGATGAAGAGAGTGAGGTTTGTGAAGAATCTATTGTTATTTCAATCGACTAAGCGAAAGATGTGATTATGCACCTCATTGCTTTTTCAAAAGCCAAAGCTTTATCTAGCGAGGAACTTGACCTTTTGAAATTTAAGGTTACATTTCAGACTCTTTATGATTCATCTTTGTAGCAAATATCTATTGAAAGTTATTTTGAAGTCATCTTGTAATAAGGTCATGTTTTGGCTCGCACCTGGTTTCTACCTTTCAGGATCAGGGTTTTTGGTAAAGGGCATTTATATTAAATATTCCATTCTAGTTACACCAACTCTATAAGGTACAGAATGAACAAAATCTGGAGCAAATAGGTGTACTTTATAAGGAGGTTTCTTATGCTTCATCTGTCCTCGCATGTGTTCCCACAAACAGATATAGGGACACATTTACATGAGATGGGAGAGAAGGCATTTTAATGTGGGGATGCCTTTTCTCCCATGTTCTCTTCCGGTAGCAGTCAAGATGTCAGAGATTCAGCATGATTTATGTAGACTGAAAACATATTTTAGTCTTTTATTTACAGGCAAATAGTCCAAAATGTGATATTCTGGAATCATCATTTTAATAGTTTCTATCTGAGAGATAGTTTTGTAAAAAAATTGTGCAACTTTTCTAAGCTGAAGAAATTCGGACACTAGACCATAATAGCACTCCATGTGAAATTCATAGGACTGACAATTGTCCTAGACCATCGTGACTCTGATATAATCTGAACCTCCTTGAGAACAACACAGGCCGGTAAATTATTCAGAGAAGCCTCATAGATTCAATATGTAAACCTTCAGGGTTAAAAACATCTTCATGACCTGGACTACATAGTTTCTAATCCTCTTCAAGAAAAAAAGAGACCATTCGAAACTCCAAGTGCTTCAGAAGATTTGAAGGGTCTTAAAATTAACTTCTCATGCAAGTCTGGACCTTCTCACTACTAATAGACCCAACTACACCAGTGAGATAGTGGCTTACCATTAGAGGAATCAACTCTTCTTTTCTCTCTGTTTCCGTTGTTTGGATTGTTTTATCGGAGCGTTTGTTAATAAATGTGTCTCCTTTATGCTTTTCGGCATTCCAGAGGTAAGAGTTGACATTAGTAACATGCCTTTTTACTCCTGGCATATTTATTTTTATATCTTCTTCTGAGCTTGAAACCACAATTTTTTTTATGTATGGCAGACAAAGGAAGTAAAACTTGACATGAGCATTCAGAAAAATCTTGAAAAATGGCACAGAAGAATACTCAATTTCTCGCAGAGATCATCGACACCACCGAAGAGTACTATTCAATGATTGTACTATTTTCAATTTTGTTCTAAGCGAAGTAATTACAATATTCGAGAAAGTTGTCACCGCATGGATTTTTCAGGCCAAATCCTGATGGGGAGCCTAGAGTTGCAACTGATGTCATGTGAGGCTTCAACATGGACATTATACTCCTTATCCAAGTATCACTGAGTACACAGAACCTGCCGAACCAAAGTAGCCAAAGTCTCGATGCAGTTCCGAGGCTGAATGTGGACCTAATGTGCAAAACTTTTCGAGGGTTCCTAGGGTTGCTACTCGTCTTTATGTGCAGTAAATGTAAGAGCCATCAATGGATATGTATGTATATGACAATGGTCAGCTTTACTCTATCAGACTAGTTTACCATGCACTCCTGCTTTAATAAATACTACAGGTAGGCAGGAAAAAAATTTGTGTACTAACCTCAATTCCATCCAGACCTCAGTCAAATTCACCTGCCGCAACTAGTAGGTGTCCACGAAGGTAGACAGTTCTCCTTCCGTTTCAAAATCGTAGGTAGCACCCTGGCTTTTCAACCAGGCAACTTTCTCTGCATCGGGCACACTCTCCAGCTGCTCGTATAGCTCAGCACCAGTTGCATTGGCTCGTCTAAGGGTCCAGATGCCCTTCGTAGGATCGTCTCTGTAGTGCACGACGTTAATGTGAGTGGCTGGTTTGGAGTGATTTGAGCAGTCTGCTCTTGATTTTTTGCGTTTATCGGTCAGCAGAGCTCTGTGCAGGCAGTTGTTGAACCAGACTGCGCCTGTGTAGGTAGGACCTGCGCTGTTGAAGCAGACGTTGCCGCTCATGGTGGTGACGGTCTCGTTGCATCCGCCACTCTTGAAGGTGGTCGTCGAGTAGCAGCCCCGCATGGCTTTCACTTGCACCGATTGTCTTGCTTTGTGGGAGTTGCAGCACTTTCCTGCTCTGATGCTGTCACACAGAGGATTGACGATTCCCGTGCAGCGCCCACGAGACCAGAAAAGCATATCCACGGCCCCGGCCAACTCCAGGACCGTCACCTGCATTATCAGAATCGCTAGAAGAAGTCTCGTCCCCATGAGCTTCTCCATGCTCCTTCTGCGTTCTCCCTCCAATCTGCAAACACCCTGCAGACTCGCCAACCCATGGATGAGAAGGTGCCAAGCTGCCAAGCTCCATGGACTCACACCACTCTCGGAATATACGAGCTGATGTTCGCCATCAGGTCTGAGTAACTCTAGTGAAAAACAACATTTTGGTCGAGCAGATATTCGTTTGTCGAATACAAGAGCCCAAAAACTTCAAGGTAACAAATAATGTTCATCTTCAAGTTGGTTTGCAGCGACTGACTTCAAGCTACACTCATGGAGTCAGAGAAATTGTACGATCCATATGTTAATCACAAATCACCACACAGAGCACGAAGAGTAGAATGGGAACCAATTCAACAGTCAACGTTGACAATTCTTCTATCGCTTGACGATTCCATTTGATTTATAGTTCAGAGAAGCTCAGCTCAGTCAAAGTTCGGGGCATCAGAGTCCATCGCAATGCATGGAGCTCACAAATTTACCTTTTGAAGGGTGCAGAGATTGGCTGGTAAGCTGGATACTCGGGAAGATGAGTCCAGAGGAGACACTAGCAGCCTTATATACATAGGTAATTAACCAGGAAATAGTCTGAAGGTCATGCAGAAACGCAGATATTTAGTGTCACATGAAAAGGCCGAACGCTAACTTCAAGGAAGCGTGAGGAGTGTAAACACACAGAGGTGAACAGATGTCTGCCTTGACAACTGGAGTCCAACATCTGCAACATCAACGTTCTGACTTGTAGCTCCCTCCGCTGGTTCCTCCGTCTGGTTAGAGGGCGTGGAGCACTCTAACCAGACGCTGAGCATTATATTTAATGCATGGTTTGCAAGCATGAGATGAGGTTTCATGCTTACGCTACAGATCAGCGTGGACTTGTGTTCACACAAATGTGCAAGTTTGCCTAACCGGAACGAATCTTTCACGGCCATACGAAACGTTTTGTGTGCATGCATGCAGGAAGGCAGATGTGCTTGTTTAATGCTTGCAGCTACTGCCTCTATAGTAACACCGCCACGAAAAGACTCGAATTGTTGCCATGTGATTTTAATGGGCCAACGATCTTTTGCCGCTTCCTGGAAATCTGTAATCTCTGGACGAGAGGATGTTGTCGGGGCGGGAGGCCTTCATGCATGCACGCAGCTCCAGATCTAGAAACATGCGGATCGTGAAAGGAAGCTGGAGAGCATTTGTGTGCTCCACTAACTCCGTACTTTTCTTGTCCCACGGACATTGACATTGTTCACGTGTAGTCTCCAGCCACTCAACTTGTACCCCTGGAATTTCGCACCTGGCGAGACAACAAACCGTAAACTAATAAACGCAGCCGGAGCGTGACAGCCGGTCAGGTCCAAGTTCTGATTGCTCCTTCCAGTAAAGTAGTTCATAATCCATTCATAACCCTTTCATTGTTGCTGACGAGCTTTAATAGACTCGTAAGGCTTCAGAACGCTTTAAATATTTGTATCTCAATTCACATGACAACTAAGCGTCCAAACCTCTTCCGTTTCTCTATGAAAATGAGCTGCTTAAGTTCCCAGTTGATATTATTTGGGTAATTTCTATTTCCCCTCTGGCTTTAGTATATACATCTGGTGTCATGGTGTGTAGTACGCGGTAGCTGAATGCCGGGAACCAACTGGATTTGACAATTGCCAAGAGTATGGCACCCCTCCCTCCCTCGGGCGAATGTTTCGGTGTCCAGCCCGTTTGACGAGACTCGATTTGATGTGATCTCCTTGACACTCGCTCATGTCGCCGTGCTTGCTTGTACAGTCGTGGTTGGTCGGGGGGCTACACGTTGTGGACGACTCGGTCGACCAGGACTTGACAAGATTTTCGGTTCATGCTTGGCTCATGACAGTGCAATCGTCCTGTCTGCTGCGTTACGCTTCGCCCTGGCCCTCCGAAATCTCCTTCGCCCGTGCGCAAGGCTCGAGATGTGGCCGGGCCTCCAGCTGAATTTCTGACCGTCGAGCTCGAGTCACATGCTCGGGAAGACATGCCTGGACTTCCAAGCTCAGGCATGAGTGAGTTCCAGGAAGTGATCCGGATTACAAGCCAGTTTTTTAACCTGTCTTGCGGAGAACGTCGTCTTCCATAGAAATACCTAGAGCGAAGATGGAATCGTTGCACACTCCTCGCGTCGTCCACAGAATTTCGTTTGTTTGCGTGGCGATCTGCGTAATCAGAGACTACTACTGTCATCGCAAGTCCCAGGTTTCAGATCGTGTTGTCGGTGAAGTTGTTCTGGCCAAAATCTACGCTTGAGATCTACATGATTGCTAATTATAATCTGCATGTGTCCCATTGCATCTTACGTCTGTAGTGGCAGATCTCCATGAATTCTACCTCGAGGCGTCATCCTGCATGACCGAGAGAGATGAGATGGTTTGTGCTCGGCGGGGACACCAAAAAATTCATTCTGTCGGATCACGAATGCTCTTTGTAAAATGCTCTTTGTAAAATGCTCTTTGAGTCTCACTGTCCAGTACTATATTGAGCGAGTTTCTCTCTCTCTGGCTTTAAAATCAGAAACAAATCTCAGCTCTAGAGATTTGTTAACTAGTCTACTTATTAGTAGTAGCCCATCTAATTAGCTCACGATTCAGTAAAATCACGGGAAAAGATAAGAGGTGCCGATGGACAGAAAAAAGAATCCGTGTTGGAGAAGAATAGGATTTCCACAGGATATAAAGAGGAATATCAGTGAGGAGAAGAGACAGCTTATCAGACTTGTTGTCAGCATAATAACATACACCAGGTTTCTCAACATCGCAGATTTCGGTTTCTGCTTCTACGTTTGACAGTCTGTTCTTGCAAGCTTACAATTGAGGCTTTAGCGTTGGCGGTCGCTGCTTTCTAGAGTCTAGTACTCAGTCGAGACAGAAAATAATCATATGGCATATGCATTGCTTAATAAACTCGAATACTTTGAGAGACGCCCACAGCTCGGTGCCATTCATTGTGATGAAGCTTAAATAGCTTTGCTTTGATTAAAAAGAATATTTTTCATGGATGTTTGAACTTGAGGAGTAATAAGTAGTAGATGTGGAAATGATTGTCTCAAACATCAGAGAGAAGAATTCTGACACGTCTCAAGTTACTGCATTGGAACGTGCAGGATTGTAATCACTCCCTGTTCACTAGCCGATCGATCCTTCAACCTGGGAAGCAGATGTCAGTCGTCGAAGAAGTCGATGCGCAGATGTTTGATGAGTTCGATGGCGAGATCTAGCGATTCAGTTTCTAACGATTCAGGCATCAATTTTCAAAACCTTATGAAAAAAGTCAATCAGCCTGCCCTCGCTCTTGTGCTGCTCAGTGGTGAACCAGGCATCCCATTTGACTGTTTAAGAGGTTCGGCTGTATGGACCTGAACAACTTTGACTCGCGATGTATCCAATTCCGTGGGCTGTTTGGCGTCATTGTACTAGTTGCTCGTAGATCGAGCCAGTATGCCTCGCTGGATGGTTATCAATCTTCCTTGCATACAGTACTTGAAAGATATGTTGTGCTCCAAACGATGCAGGTCTCTGCTTCTTCCGATGTAGGATGACAAGCTTTTAGTGTACCTGTTCCACAAGGTACACATGTGTTTACTACTAATGTTGCCTTTCGATAACTGTGCTTAATCGTCGATTAATTCTCATGCCAACGTCAATTTATTGCATAATTATTTCTTCTTGGTATGTTATTGTGAATTTGCATGGAATGCAGGTTACGTTTAAATGACAGCAGATTTCGGCATATGTTCGAGACATTTTGGAATGGTTCCCTCATCCTCTTTCCCGATGTTAATAAGTATTCTACAGTGTTGCTAACTAGAATGTAGTGGAGGATTTGTTGCAGTGGAGAACTTATCCCCGTTTACGTCGTGACGGGAAGCTTAACATTTCTTTGGTGCTTAAGAAAGTTCGATGATCATTCCATCCAACTTGTATCATATCCTTCGCATTCCATCCGCTATTACTTTTCTTCGATTTATACTTCACCTTTTCCTTGGCTTCTGCGATGGGAATTTTCCCTTCAGTGGGAAAGAGAACTTTTCGGTAGAATGACTCGAAGGGTGTACCAGGGTCCTTGCGCCAAAACACACTACCGCATGAGTGGAACAGCAAATGTATATCTTTATTCTAAGTGGGAATTTAAACCTGTTGCTGGGAGAAACTTTCATGTTAAATTCATACAGCCTTACGCACACGTCACCTGTTTTCCGATTGGTGCAATAGTCTGTCTTTCAACTGGTATCGGAACCAGTCCCTCTTGAAAATGGGTACTATTTGATGATTCCTAAACACTACGCTTCATGCGTTGGCAATTAGGAAGAACATATCGTGTCCTAACTTTCTTCAAAGACTATCTAGAACATCTAAAAACAATCCCAACCTACAGCAAATAGATGATGAGAGGATAATTGTCCTCCGTCTACTTTCTTGTAAGAAGTATTAAACCAGATCAAGGGTCTATCAACATTCCAGAACACGGCACCATGCAGATCTCGAAAATTGCTCCATTATGCTCTCAAGTTAAATTCTCAAGCTCTTGACATAGGGTTGGAAATCGCCCAACCCCAAATCAAATGATAAGGCTCTTGTACAGCAGTGTGTTGAGCACTGCATATGCTTGTAGGGGTACACTAGTGCAAAATTTCCTTCATATTCTGCACTATGTTGCAGAATCTCGTTAACGTGACACTAATGACTAGCGACTGCAGATATCGCAGTGACGTGTATCCACATTACTCACAACCGACGTCCTCGTCGTCCACCCTTCCTTCTAGTGCTGTCTGTAGGAATCGGGGTTACATCCTCTGCGGTAACAAACATCAGCCAAATAAGCTACCTCACACTTTCAGAAAAGCTGGTCCATAAATTTGTAACGAAAAATTAAGATATGTAGGTTTCTTATCTTGGATGCTAACCAACAGAAGTCGATACCTTGACACACAGCTGTGGACACACATGGTTGGCATTGTGCCCGATACTGAAAAAGAAAGGAAGCTGGGAATGTTGGAATGCCTCTTACCGATGCGTCCAATTCTCATGCCAGAACGAGCAAGGGCTCGGAGTGCAGACTGAGCACCAGGTCCAGGAGTCTTGGTCTTGTTACCGCCTGTGGCACGGAGCTTGATGTGCAGGGCAGTAATTCCCAACTCCTGCAATAGGCCATCTATTAGAAAACCAAACACAGATCCCGGCCGAAATTCTAATTACTTCTATCAACGTCATCCGAGCCGCTCGCTTGGACCATAATAAAGACAGGGTCGACCATGGTATCTCGGGAGACTAACCTTGCACCTGACAGCGACGTCTTGTGCAGCAAGCATGGCAGCGTAGGGAGACGACTCATCGCGGTCGGCCTTCACCTTCATACCGCCTGAAGAAAGAAGTTAGTTTACTTGCTGGTCAAGGATATGTCACAACGTACAAACGAATGGAATTGAAAATCAACTCGGAGATTCATACGACATGGACTCAAAGCCTGTGATTTGTTTAGTTACCTGTTACACGGCAAATTGTCTCCTTCCCTGACAGATCGCTGACGTGCTGCATAAACGTAACAATGACTTCAGTGCCTTCCAGGAGCATTGAGACAACTGAGGAACTCATCAAAAGTAAAAAGTAGTGGAAAGTACAGGGCAGTACTTACGACGAAGGTATCGTTGAAAGAAGCAAAAATATGGGCAACGCCGAAGACGTGCTCTCCTTCCCTTACAGATGGACCAAGGGTGACATTGTCCTCCTTGACTTCTCTAACTTTTTTCTTTCCCGACTGCAAGCATTACAGAGTATATGAGAATCACCTCACTCTTTAGCTTACATGTGGGAATCAGAGGCCCCAGGGCGGCTCATGCGCGGGTCAAGGGCACACCCTGGAAAACTCCTCAACGCCGGGGAACTGCCATCTTGCTTTCGCTCAGACGGGCGTCTCCGTTCGACACGAAAGCGCCAAGGAAACACCGCGGGGGCGGCAGCCATCTTTCACATAAGATCCTCAACACCGGTGAGTAGATCTTACACCCAATTGTTGAAAAACCAAAACTCGATAAAATTCACGCAAAATAAAAGACGACAACATATTGCTCTGGGCGGAAGCAGGTATCGAAAAGTCTCAAATTTCAAGCGTACCATGATTGCAGTGGGTGAACTGGATTCTGCTCCGCAGAAGCTCGAGGTGGACACAGCAGCAGCGGGGAATGGTCGAGCTGGTGAAGATTGAAGACCAAAAAGAAGTGGCGCTGCGAGCAGAGAACCCTAAGTATGCACCTCAAAGCGCCATACGGGGGCACTCAGGGCGCTAGGGCTTTCCCTCCAACTACGACAGAACCGGGTTGCCCCTTAGCCGGACGTGGTAGACCGTAGACAGTGATCGCAGGCAGGTTAGTTACTGAATTCTACAACACACATTATTTTCCTGTGTCCTCTTTTACGCTCATAATTTTTGCCCATTTCGATATTGTATTACTGCTTCCAGCATCTTCCATCTAAAACTTCGTAACAGATTTAATAACATGCAGTCAAGCTTTGGAAGAAATAATAAAATATTCGATAACGGAAGTACTACTTATGTAAGTAAATATGACCATTGTAATGGTATTTTAGTTTTTTTCAAGGTTTTTCTTATCCTTTTTGCTATATATTGTAAGGACATATACCTATGAATTGAATTAGCAGCTGCTACTAACTTACAAAATTCAAGATATATGGATGAAACTAAACATGCATTTCCAACATTCAACTATGTGAGTCACTTACTTCCCCACGATCACTTTCTACTTGCATCGGTGTATTGAAAAGTTTCTCACCGTGCAGCACGACAATTGTGTGCCCGCCAGATATAATATTGCTCATTGAATTTTATGCACATAAGAATAAAATCTTTAAATAATGTTTCTAGAATACTGATGTAATAAGCATTCAAGAGATTAAATAGTTGGTATATGTTTACTCATCCTAAACCACACAAACGCATAGAACTTTAATGAAAATGAAACAACAATAACACACGAACAAACTTTCGATATGTTTTCGAATATACGAAGTTACAAACTTATGTCTTCAACTTCATTGACAGTTTTTATTGAATTATGTCGTTTGTCGAAGCATAAGTTTCTAACATTCTTTATACATTTGAACATTGCTAGTTTAAGTCTGAAGTCTGTACCCACATTTATCAATCATTTTGTATAAGACATAAGACATCATTTCTGTTTCTATTGTAATATTAAACCAGTGCTGTAATAACAAAAAATCATCAAATATTACAATGTCAATGAGAAGCTATATAATTTTTCTACTATTTAAAATCATGAATTACATTTACATACAATTTCGTATTTTGGAAAATGTAAAACATTCAATTTAAAAAAAAACCTCAGCTAATGAAATATAAATGATGTATCTATATATACGCAAATATGATTAGACCTATTGAACCTTTTTTAATTATATTTTCAAAATTTTAATGCTTTAAAAAAGGGAGTTTGTTAAACTGTCGCACACCAAGTCCATATATCTACAATGAATAATTTTCAATGTCATCAAAATTCTACATACATCTTCTAAAAATAGAAGATTCAAACATCTACATCACTTTTATATATACACACACATAAAAGGAATGCGTTCGTATAAATTATTTGAAACAAAAATAAACCGTTTTCTATCATCGATTCATATATATTAATTATGTGATTTCTCTATTATGAAAAAAATTTCAAATAATATGAAAATATTTATGTCAACATAATTTTATTTTTACATATTTTTTAATTCATATATAATTTCAGAATATAAAAAAATCATACGTAATTATGGAAAAAAATTCATCCAAATCTAATCAATCTTGGTATCAAAGTTTTCCATGTTTTGTATACTTGTATTATATTTTTATTTTGTAGAAAATAATAATTCATCATTTTCAAAGTCATGAAACTTAAATTACAGATTTTTCTAAATGAATGGATACAAGATCAAATTTTGTATTGGAAATTGTGATAAAAAATAAAAATAATTATAGACCAAAAAATACTCTGGTTTAACATTCTTTTGTTACTGGAAATAACCCAAAATGTGATAAGAATAAATTTCTAGAGCATTCTTTAGACGTCTCAACCCTTTGCAACTTGTTACATGTATTCATATCGTTACGTCATAAACAATTTCTTAGTCACTTTTTGTTTACTCTTGAAAAAATCACACAAAATGAAAATCTTATGAAACGAATGTTTTTTTAATAATAATTCCATTTAATATTAAATACAATTTTTAAGTTGATGAATATGTAAGTATTTATTTAAATTTTTTTATATTTTAATTTTTGTATGACAGTACTAAAAGTTTAAAGAGCATTCTAATTATTGATATTAACTATTAATTCAAATATAAAGTTTTAAAAATCTTGAAAATTCATATGAACTTTTTTCAAAATACAATCAATTAAGAACATTGTTTTTTTCGATTATGTTTGCCAGTCCAACATCCTTGCATGCACCAAGAGTCAAAATATAAAAGGTACAGTTTAAGTGAACAAACAAATAGAAATTTCTATTGAAGAGCTGATACATATAATTATCTTTGCAATTTTAAGTTTGAAAACTAGATTATAAGTTTTAATTTATCATATACAAATACAAAATAGATGATATAATAAGCTAAAAAATTCCAACTAATTTTAAATGAATATTCAAGTACTAAAAGTAACTTATTTTTCAATCATAACAATGTCATTTTTAAATGAAATATTATTAAATTTTTTGATTTATTTTAATTAAAACACAAGATTGGAGTTTTTTTTTATAATCAAAGGTATTCAATATCAAGTGATGATTCATATTGCTGCTACAAAATCAAATAAATAGACCAGATCATTCAATCATTGAACATCCAATATGCATATATTGAAGTTATTAAAACAATCATATAGACATTTTGTTTTTTAAATTTCTAGCATTTTTCAATATTTTGAATCACGCTACAAATATGATGATAACTGTGTGCAAAACTTATGAGGCCTATAGATTATTTCAAATATGACAATTTGTTGACTTACGACTAAGATGATGACAAATTTTCAAAATAATAAAGTGAACAATCAAAATTTGAATGCATCTCTAGTGACACTTTGTCATGAATCAAGAAACTAATTTTTTTTAAAAAGTTTAGCTTTATAATATGTTTTTTTTTTATATTAAGATTGATACCAAATCATTCACATGATATACGTTGATAAATGTAAGATGTGATGTATATTTCTATAAAATTGACGTTGATTGCATTTTTACGACAAAATTTATCAATTTAAATTTATTTATAATAATTATCAAAGTATTAAAATTAGATACACAAATTGAATAATCAAGTGATGAAACATACTCTTAATGTAAATATCCAGAAATAAATCGGAATAATAAAATTATATTCTGGGTGAATGAAAGAAGTTCTTTATCACAATGATGTATCAAAGAAATTAGAATTGAAAATAGTTATCCAAGAATTAATGGTTATGATTAATTTTAATTTTTCAAATAAAAATTTGTGTTATTTTGATTTGTTCATAGATATCATGATTCAAAAAAAATTTTATTTCTTTAACACTATATATTTTAAACTTCACATCTAAGTTATTTTCATGCAATTCATATGCTGAATTGGATTAAATTGATATTTTTTTTATGAAATATTATAAAAATTGTTAATAAAGTTTGGCGTTTAGATTTATTTTATGAATATTTAAAGTATATATTATTTTCAGTAATTAAAAAAATATTCCATTAAATTTGCATATGTGACAAAAAAAGTTTTCAAATACTTGTAATATTATTGATTATGGCATGATTTCAATTTGAAATTAAATAGATTGCTAAGGTCAATAGTGTTTTCATTTATATTCATATTTTCAAATCGATATTTTTATATTTCAATATGCTTTCATAATTTGTATTATCATGTCATAATTGTCAAGTATTTTATTATCATTGGTTTGGATTATATTCACTTTCAAATTTTATTTTATTTTATTATTAACAAGGTGCTAAAAATGTGAAATTAATATTTGTTTCTTATTTATAACAAAATCACAGTTATCATATTTATATCCGTGTAAAATTCAAGAAACACAACGACATAGAGCAAGCCAACAACACGAAAGACATAACTATAATGTGGTTCACACTCAAGAACTATATTCACGGAGTTTACACTCGAAATAGCTTACTACATCAAATGAAAACATAACATAACCCGCATGAGCATCAAGGTATATATGTCCAAAGTAGATGAATAGTCTCATTTATAAATAACTACACATGAGATTACTCCTTAACTGGATTTAAACTCAGCAATCTCTCCCTAAAATCGCGTTAAGCAATCTCAGTAACATCTCTTACCTATATTATTACTCAACGAGAGGTTTTAGACGGAAACCTAACACAAAGACCTTCTCTAAACGAATTAAAGCCGTTAATTAAAACTAAGCCGGAGTCATGCCATGATAGAGTAATAATATACATAATTAACTCAACAATCTCATCTTCACTTGTGTTAAAAAAATTTAGTAAACTCTATTAACAATATTACTATTATTACTCCCATAACAATATGGAGTAATAACATATAGATGTAATTTAACAATATATCATTATTAAAATTGTATTGATGATAGCTTTTTTCATCTGAATTTAAATAATTATACGCACAAATGGAATAAAAATATGATCATAATATCTTTAAGTTTTAATTTGATTGATAATAAATCTTCAATCATCAAAATTTTTTTATCTATGTTGAAATTCAAATAGTTGTTAATTTTGTTTTTATAGATCTGTATGATCCATTTGAACTCTTGATAAAATCAAAGTGATTTTCTTGGAGAAAATTTCACATTATTTATTATGAATTTAAATATAACAGAATTTTTAATATCAATTTTGTATGTTTTTTATTATTACTGTCAAAACTTTGAAATTCATTGTCGTTTATCATTTTGAAATTAATATTCATTGCAATCTGAACAATAAATGTGAACAACAATTAAAACAAAAGACGCATGAAAAATATTATTTATAAAAAAATGATATCAATATTGCAATTATTATAATTTGTTTTGCTAATTTTGTATGTTAGAAAGAACCACAATAATTGATTTTATGTAAATTTTCATCAATCATCATAAATATAGATTGATCTTGCATGATGTTGTAATCATGAAGTATTTGCATTATTATTATGATTATTTCATATCAATCACCAGACAAATGTACAATTTTGTACAATTCTAATGGATAACAAATGATATCATGTTTTTTTTAACTAAACATCATGATTATTTCAAAAAGCATCTTATAATATGTTCATTTATCATAGCTTTTATTAACATTATTATAATTTTTATAAGATTGATAAATAATAATGTTGGAATCAACAAGTTATTTTATTTACACTTACTTGTTAATTCTATTGTTGATTTGCGATTATGAATTATTTTAATTTTCTCATTATAATCAAGAATAATAATCAATAAGTTTTTTAGAATTTTAATTTTAATATAATTTTTTTTAAAAATTATTATTACAACTATAATACTTTATATTTGAAATTATTTTAAATATTTTAATAAAAATTCATAAACGTATTTTTAATTGTGTAAAAAATGAATATATATGATATATCATATTGATTAATTTTATTATTATTATTAAAAAAACTTATGATTATTAATGGAATGTTTTTTTTTATGATTTGATATTTTTTTAGTGAAATAAATATATGTTATATATATTAACATGAAGATAAATATGGATGATTTCATACATGTTTATATAATTATCATTTATAATAGATTTTTAAAAATTGATTGAATATAGTTTGTTTCAAATTCTATTTGCATGTGGTGAAGTATTGATGTTTAACAAATCAACATGCATTCATGCATCATAAATAGTAAACAATAGAATTGAATGTTTAATTACAATTCAAGTTGAATATTACAGTAGAACCTCTATAAATTTATACTCCATAAATTTATAACCTCCAAAAATTTATCAAATTGTGCGGTCCCGGCATGGGACCAGGCCACAAATTTATAATCTTATAACTTATCAAGTTTTGGCTGCCCCGAAATTTTTATAAACTTATACTGTATTCAGGTTGATGTGCTTTCCGAGCTACATTTGTACGACTATGATTGACTAAAGAAACTTGTAATGGTTGTCTGCCTAAGCTTTTGTTCACATTTGTTTGTTGGTTGCTTAAATATCTGACGTGGGTTAGGGATTTTCCTGGGTTAAGTTTATTACATTTTGAGAAGTTTTCTTCTACACATTCCAACTGTATACAGTACGCCAGGATACAGTGCCCTACACACCCCATTACAATACCACAGCCAATACACATGGAACCTGGGTATCAAACAACTTCTATGTCTTTTTGAGGTACTGCATTCCTTGCTGTAACCTTCCTAACCTTTCTGCAACCTTCCGGATGGTTCTGAGACCAATCAAGCAAAATTAAATGAATCAATTTTAATAAACTCTAGAAACTTATCACCTCTATAAACTTATCAAAAAGTGCTGGTCCCAGCTTGATAAGATTATAGAGGTTCTACTGTATTGATATTTTTGATATAATCATTATGAATCATATATATCACATGTTTCTAGAAAAAATCTTATTTTATAGAATGTTACTTGAATGTTGAACAAGTTAGTGAGTCAGATTTTTAGTATAAAATTCCACCTTACGTATGCAAGTGTGCTACCCACAATTTATATAGATTTCTCACTCTACATGGACATCGATTATATTCCTTTATCTATATACATTATTAAATAATCAAAATCTTTACCAATTCTTTATACCAACAGTTTTTTAACACCAACTACTGAATGTCGTGCAGGTGGAATTGCTCAAGAACTTAAATTGCTTGAGTTACAAACTCAATCACATTCTATTGTTAGTTTTTCAGGGAGTATTCAGGAATTTGCCATGATAATTTGTTGTCTTCTAAATATCTTAATGAGACGTTTAGGATGTCCAATCCGAAAAGAAACGCAACAATCCGTTCACATGCCCCTTAGATTCATCTTGGTCAATAACTGTTCACATTCTGTTTCCTCGTTATCCACCGATGTTCTCCATATCTTTTTTACCTGTTCAATAATTCTTAGCAAAGTACGCAGATTTAGTTGTTTTTGCCAGATGGCTACACGAAAGAAAGGGAATAAAATTATGGCAGGCAGTTGTAGACAAATGTATTGTAGACGGTAAATGGAAAGGGCAGGGGTCGGTGGAAGGCAGGCAGGCAGGGGCCCGAGGGACCTAAGCCTGGAGATCCAGAGGTTGCAGAATTCAGGGTCCAGGACTCCGGGTTCTACAGACTCCTGCTACTGTGGAAGCGCGTGGACCCGGTCAGTGGCCCCGTTGACTGCGGCAGCAGCCGGCTGAGGCTTCGAAGGCCATGTTATCGTCGCTTGGCGTGCGGAGCCGAGCAGCCAACTCAGTTTCTCGCAATCTCAGCCGTCCGACTGCGGACCTCATCTTAAAGCTACCGGTCACCGACCGGTCCATACGCCCTCGAGCCGTGTAATGAGTATCATGTGGTACGAGCGAATATCCGAAAGGTTTTACAGTGCGACTGGGGGAGCGGGCGAGCGGGCGAGCGAGCGGCCGATGGTCAGTCCGCCCCCTTTCTTCGAAGCCAGCAGTCAAGCCGGTCAGTTAGTCGGTCAGCGGGCAGGCCACGTGGATGAAGGACGGGAGGAGACTGGGTCATGTTGGCAACGAGCTTTGGAGCCCCCCGGAGTCGGGACTCGGCCGGAATCAGAGAGTGGCAGAAATCACGTTGCGGAAAGCGCACGTGAGAGGAATGGTCTCGCGTGCTGGTGAATTCTCGGATCGTCAGGTTCTGCTGCCCCCGGTCTTTCTGCCGGGCTCGAATCGTTCTGGGCCCCTTCTTTCGCCTTGCTTCGCCTCTCTTCCTCGCACTCAAATCACGGACCCTTCGACGCAACTCGCTTCATAGAAGTCAGTCCATAGCGAAATCCAATCGAGCGAGAAAGAAGTTGCCAGATTCGTGCATGATCTTGTACAGACAGAAGACCGACAGACGGACGGACACCAGCGTTGGAGCGAAGGTACTCGATGCCCTCGTCGTAGCCATAGTATTCATAAAAATCCGATTCTCGAGTGGATCCGCTCTATACTGCGGAACCGAGGACGAGTCGTGAAGATCAAGGGGAGGATTCGAGGTTTAGTCAGATTTTAGGCCAGGTGTAGAATTTTGTGTAGGTGTTTGATAGATTAAGAATAATTAGTTGAGGCCAGGTGGAGGTGTTCTCGGGCGGCAGCTCAGCTCGGTTCGTGGAGGAAACGTAACTATCAATTCGACGAGTCCAGAATTCGCGTGAATTCTCCACTGAATTGCCTACTGGTCCTTCGTTGGAGGGTTTGATCGATTGATTTGAGTGATTGAGTGGTAGATTGTTGGTGTTGTTGAGTGGAATTTGGAGGAGTGGGAAGATGTCAGTGCAGGCTGTGGGCAAGCTAGGGTGGGAGATAGTGGGCTTCAGCTTCGGCATGGTGATGAGGTTCTTGGGTCGGTATCCGGAGACAGCGCGCTCTTATTACAAGCCTCCTGAGGACGATCACGGAATGCATTCCCGAAGCATGAAACACGAGCATGGAATTCACGCGCTGCTAGACTTGACGTATTCCCATGTCCACCACCCCGGTGACATGAACCACCGGAGCGATACAGGTGAGCAGTTCGCTGCGCGACCCTTCTGGATGGTGATCAGGATAGACCGCAAGGCCGTGCCTGGTGACGAGATCGTCCAACCTCATTGGGTTCTGTGCTCCTCATGAACAAAAAACTGGCCCATGCTTTTCTCCATGTGGAAGTGTCCATGGAAGGCTCGTCAGTAGAACTCAGACCTCAGAGCTCTGCTCCGCACTGCTCTCAATTTTGGTACAGTAGTCAACGATGGATTGCTGGATGGCCGGATGGCTTGGTGGGTGGCGATGGCGCTTGGGAAGATGCAGATTTGAGGAAAGTGTTCATCTTTCAAGAGTCCAGGGGCTGGACGAGGTGGAACTTACCCTGGGTTTGTTGTCACGTTCGCAGGCGCTCCTTGAGTTCTGAATGAATGAAGCTCATTACGGAATGGGAGGAAGGCCCAATCCGGGGGTAGCAATCTCGAATGCCATAACGTAGCAACAACAACAACAACACTACTTGCAGATTGCACGCCTCAGGGTTCCAAGTCAGGATTTCAGAGCCATATTAACAACATCAACTTGCCCACTTTCCGCCCATGGCCGGCAGCTGCACTCACGGCACCTGCCATGCTTCCAGCAATAATTCTTTAGGTGTGTACACAGATCCTGGGTTGTCGATACGTTTTATCATAATCCTGGCGTCCATACCGAGCAATCCAACATGCATTCACGTCATCGCCGGGTCGGAGATTCTCGATCCTGTGTCGGTTTTCCCATCGACGACCCATTGTTTTGTATATCACCCTATGTCACTGATGTATTAGTAGGAGTAAAGTAAAGAACATCTTCGTTTGTTCTATAGAATTATTGAGAGAAATAGAAAGAGGACTATTTTCCGAAGACCTACAATCCGGTTTCTAAAAGAGACTGGTCAGTTTTGCACCGGCATTTTTTAGTGGTTGACAGTTTAGGGCGTTTGGAGAATGTGTTGGATATTCCAACCACGGCAAATTCAGATTCAGTAGATAGCAGAGATCACATGGGAAATGAAAAAACTTTAGTCCTTGAGCTGCTTTTGTTGTAGGAGTATGAAGTGGTGTGATCGGAAGTCGTTTGCATTGCTTCAATATGATTAGGAAATGGGATAGAATTGCACACTGAACGTACACTAGTCAGAAACGCAATGGATAAATAAACTCCAAGGTAGCAAACATGCTTTGAGAGTCCATATTTCCAATGTACCTATGATCAGAAATACACGTACCCCAGATACGTAGATGAGCATCTTTCTCACTCACCTCTCTGGATGGTTGATTTGAAGATAACTGATGCATTGTTCTTCCAGATCCAACCTTCAGCGTTTTCTCGACGGGATATGGTCTTCCAACTCGAGAGGGAATGTTCGGGCTTCGGGCACCTTTTATTGACTGCCTCTTCTCTAAAAGATCTAATCGAGTGGTCTTGGATTTTATATAATGTAGGCTGTAAGCCATATCAATCTCATCTTACGATCAATCGTAGCATAATGTTTGTCTTTGCTGTGTAGTATATTCCGTTTTTTTCGGAATTTATAATTTGAAACCTCGAAAAGTTCGTCGCACTAAAGACTTGCGCTAGAGGAATAGACTGGTTAGGTGTTGGGGCTCTTCACCGCCTCCGCACTGCAGGTGTTTCTTACAAAATATTTCAACAAGACTATTGGTATGCAGCTAGAGCTGTTTACGAAGTGCTAAATTTGCTCCACACAACAATGAACTGAGGAAGATCAGGTTCGACACGTGACAGCGTCGGCATTTGAGCTCAGAATGGATAATTTTGTGGCTATTCGAACTTTGTTTCTAAAATTGTAGCAACCACTATCACCTTCGCTCTGTGTAATCGACTGAATTAGCAAGTTTGTCATCCGTTGATTCCTGGCGAGGCACTGGCTGATCAGCTTTCAGCTACTGCCCTCCGGTCTGCTCTCCATCTCCTGTATATTTGCAATTGGGAGGGTCTTCTCGATATACTTCCTGAGTGCTGGTAGCGTCTCAATTTCAAGTGTTCAATTACAGCAGATGGAGCACCGAGACGCACTGCCAACAAATTTGGTCGGTCCAACGAGGAGAAGTCCGAACCAGTGACGATGAAAGCCTCGATGTCCTCGCGGTCCTTCGTGTATGATTTCGCGAAGGAGTAGATGGTAAGAGTAGAAGAAATTGTTTGTAGCTCAAATACTGCACCAGACAAGCAAACGAGCAGCAACAACAACGCATGTAGTCTGTCACGAGCGAGCCGAAGCCTTGACATTTACACCTTTGATGATCGAGGCGACTACCAATTCACCTTCATTCGATCAGTAGCATCGGTATCAATCGGTAACTTTCTTTGGAAATAATTGCAACGGCCCATCGAGCTCTATAAGAGGAGCGATGGCATTAACCTTCAACTTTAGAGCAGAGTAGATGACACGGGATCATTCATCAGGAAACTCATGAATATGTTCGTCCACCATGCCTTCGGCGACTTTTGACTAAGGTATTATATCGCATGTAACATGGTCCGATGTGACTCTTGTTCTCATTTGAGAGGTAAAGAGTAGCTACACCTGTGTCATCGGAAAGTGAGACGGTAAATATAAGTATTTGAAATTATATTGAACATTCGGCTTTTTTTCTCGACAATCAGAATAAAATTAGAGAAAATAGAATTAATCCCTACTTTTAGTATATTATACAGTGAAAGAATATTTGGCAATTCTTTGACTTTGATGTTAACAGAGCTTTTTTCTTATGAGAATAATAAAAATTTAACTTCTTGATAAAAGTTATTGATCAATAGAGTTTAATGAAAATGTATAGTCTGGTCTCGCATTAACACTATAAATCAAAACACAGCTCTCTATGCAATGATGATGCATATTGTACCCTAGTATGTAGCCATTTGTCCTCGATATGTTAGGTGCAATCCTAGGTGTTTCCAATTGTGATGCCCAAGCCTCATCTTCTCCAGTTAGTTCTTGACGGGTCTCCCATCCTCGTTGCTTTGTTACTTGGTACCTCACAATGACAGAGCAATGGACAAAATCCTTGTTACTACAATAGCGTCACGGTTCAACATATCACACTCTTCCAAATGGATTTTGCCTTTTCGGCAGACCAAACTGTCTAACATGCAGTGACTGCATTACGCAAGTACGGTGTCATCTGATGTACTCGCAAGCCTTCTCTGCACGTGTTGACTTTTCTTGCTTAGAAATCGAAGGCCGTAAGAACTTTTGTGAAGAGGTACCAGGAGTGAGTCAGGGGTTCCGACTGCGGCAAGAATAGCTCTGGATCCGTGAAATTCTGCGGCTTAATAATTATTAGGGGCCACAAAAGGGTGAGCACCGATTGAGTTGTGGGCTCAAATGGGTCCCACTGGGTTACTAAGATTCGTTTCCAGCCCATAGTGTAGGTCCCCTTCGTCTCTGGTTACTGCAGGTCGCCACTGTAGAACAGCAGCTGGGTATCGCTGTCATCTGCAGCCCATTTACAGCAAAAGTCTTTGGATCTGATGTAAATTACCGTATACCGACCTCGAGATCGAACGTAAGAAAGCGTCATTCTATGTTTCTTCAGAGGGAGCTGCTGAGAGCTACATGTAGACCTCGAGGAGACTTGGTGCGCTCTGATCACACCGTGCAGCGCAGCGCACGGTGTGATCAGAACACCATAGTTCTGGAAAACTTGTATTGGAAGATGGGTTCATTTAAGAGGATTCTTCAATCTATCGCCTCGCAGAATTGTCCAGCTCAAATACGATCAGCTGTGAAGCTCAGCGTGTAAGAGGGAGCTTTACTCAGTATCCCATAGCTCTACGAGAGCAAATACTATGCCAAACCAAAACTTATATCGAGCTGCTGCATATCTCAAGTTACATCAGAAGAAGTTGATGGCGAATTTCGTTCTTCTGCAGAAACAGCAAGAGCAGGAACCTCAAGTCCGGATAGTTTTAGCTCGACTCTGTTCAAAAGAAGACTGTGTAATTGAGCCCGGCATGATTTAAACCAATGGTTTTGGCAGGAGTTCACTGCTTGCAACCTGATGACTTCTTCATTCAGATTTGGATTGAGAATCTTCTCGCCGACATCTATCTATCTAACATGTGTGGTGGAAGATAGATGTTCTGCGCGATTCCTTACGACAGTAGGACTACGATGGATGTCGTGAATTGCAATGTGCACGTGAACACTGCCAATTTTAACAACGTCGGAGGAGGTTCAGGAAGGTAAGCGCAGAGCACGGAATCGATCGCCCACAATTTGGGTACTCGGCACCGGTAGCTGGAAGACATGGATCATTCAAAGTTTTCGAGCACTCTGTTAGCTCGAAACGATCTCAAGTACATAGCTGCCATTACCTTGCTGCATCAGCTTGTGCCATGTTCCTTGCTGGTCTCGGACTCTTACCGCTCGAATATGTGAGCATGAGGGTCTAAAGCGAGCTTGGAATCATCGAAGGACAATTTTGGACTGCTTCGATTGCTTGCAGAGGAGGTGGGCGACCTATTCACAACGTTACTTCCACTCAGGAAAGGCAACACACAGCCACGAAATTTAAGAAATTTGAGCACGCTCTGTTCATGCACATTGTGCCCTCACCTGGTAGTCAGCATTGTGTTGGTCATACAGAGTGAGCATTCATCTCGTATTTAGCTGTGCTTGGAGAAAAGAAGAATATCACCACTCCCCGGAGATACACGATCACTCCGCCTGATGCAAAGAAATGCCGTTCTTCCTGAGTCCTCTCCTTCAATCGGCACTTGTCCTCACTTCTATATACATTCCCTGCCATTGAGATTAGATTGTCTTCGGTCCGCACCATTTCACAGAGTGATTGGAACATGCCACCATCAACAGGCTAATAAATCAGACAGTCAGTCAGTCGAGGGCAGAACTTTTGGACTTGACAGAAAGAATCTCTATCCCATATAGCTATGAATAGATTGACAATCCCGAAAATAGCATTTCTGTCGGGAGCTTTAGACGGCTCAGGATTCACTCCATGCTCAGTCCACACGTCCGGTCACGAGGAGGTGCTCCGGCACATTGAGGTACACCATTCATGGAGCTCGATGGTGAGGGCCAAGGATACGAAAGTCAAATCGAGTGTGCCGTTCGTTATTGATACCGACGAAACTCAACCTCGCCACCGCCCTGAGAGTCAAGATTAGAACGTCCGAAGACAAATGAATTGCTAGTTGGTTACTTCCAGTCACACCTGCCTTCAACTCGGCTTGGAATGATGGATTAGCAAATGGAGTGCCGTAATTACATGGAACAGTGAGCACGCACGCGATTAGGCAGACAGGGCTTTCATCTCGATGCAGTTGGCACTCCAGTTACAGCAGTGATTGAGCTGGACCTCCTGATTGCTTGCTGCATTGCTGTACCTTGGCATGGTTGCTACCATTGCCAGGCATGTTACTGTAGAACGGTAGGGTGCAAAGCAGCATGTCTCGGAAGTCAAGGCCAAGGCAATGGGTGACTGTAAATACGAACAAGGATCTGCACATTGTACTGGACAGGAAAAGGAGATCGGCACATGCTCAGTGCCTTAGCCAGTGAGCCACTCTCAGGGAACGAGAAGACGAGAAGTGCTAGCAAAAGCATGAACAGGAATTACGTGGGCTTTTCACATGATTTACCACCACATTCGAGTGAGTGAATGGGACGATTCAAGTTCCGGATCTTGTCGGAACCTCCTGCAGATTAATATTCTACTCTAGCCAGTATGTCAACATTGGCAGCAATTATATTCACTCCACTCCTACTTCCATTCCAGGAATTCCTACAAGCCTCCATAATGCCAAACAATTGACGCCGATTGCTAAGCGAGGTGAACCTTTTCGCTTTTCGGATCAGTGAGTATCATTTTATTGATGTCAGTCAACATCGACATGGTTTTGTGGTAGATACGCACTTATACAGGATTCTCCTCCTCACAATTGCGGAAGGGGCATTGAAGTGTAAACTCCAGGTACACATGTTCGCCGCAGGTCACATCGAGTCATCATGCAAGTTGGGTATCATATAACAGGAAGAGACAAAGTCATGCTCCTCCAATATCGGGCACGGAATATTATAGCAAAAAGTATGGGAATTGTCGTATAATCGAATGGAGCGGGTAACATGGGGTAGTCCCGATAGTACCGACATGGTCAATGAATGTAACTAAAACCGATCACCAACGATGGAGTGATAAATAGTGATCATATGAATAAGACTGCGACACTGAATAACATTCGAACGGAGTGAAATATAAAGGACATAGATCTTGAACTAATGATACCTTAAGTGGTTGTTAGTCTATGAATAACTCAAAGTAATTTCCTTCACGGTTCTTCATGCATGAATTCACGAATATTCTATAAGCAACAGAGAATATGTTTGAATAAAACTCATCGAAAGTGGTTGCTAGATTACGAATAAAGCTAGCTGAAGTTCTGCGGAGGCAGAGTATTGTGGAAGAAGCTTGAGCTAAATTTTTTCAAAGGACGTATTTGGTTCAGAACAAATACACGTCTAGTAACTTCCTGTTTTTTTTGGAAGCTTCTCATTTGTGCTCTATGCAATTTATAATACCGGGGAAAATATTGTTTGAACACAACTAAGATATAATGGGATACTACTGTTCATTTGACTTCTACTTGTGCCACACTGTCGAGATGGAGAAAGAGTTTGTATTATTTAAAATTTCCTTGTCACGAAAGCTTGGGATT